CTGTAAACGGAAAATCAACCTTGTCTGGGTTGATGCATCCCATTTGGAAGAGACGGACGCAGAAGAGCTCCCCCGCGAATTCCATAAAGCATGGCATGCCGTCTGTATGGCAAATGGCATCCTAGTCCCTGGAGGCTTCGGCCATCGGGGAACGGAGGGAAATGATCAAAGCTGCCAAGTGGGCGCGCACCAACAACATTCCCTACCTGGGTATTTGCTTAGGGATGCAGCTAGCCGTCATCGAATTTGCTCGTAACGTCTGTGGTCTAGACGCAAATAGCGAGGAATTTGACGAGCATCACTCAACCCCGGCAATCGTCTACATGCCTGAAATCAACAAGGAAAAGATGGGTGGGACAATGCGATTGGGCAAGCGACCCACCATCTTCCAGCCTGACACAGAATGGTCCCGTCTTCGAAAGTTATACGGCGACACCCCCGCCATCTGGGAGCGGCACCGTCATCGCTACGAGGTCAATCCCAAGATAGTGGAGGTACTAGAGAAGGCCGGGCTGACGTTTGTCGGCAAGGATGAGAAAGGCGAGCGGATGGAAATCATCGAGCTCAAGGAGCACAAATGGTATGTTGGCGTGCAGTTTCACCCAGAGTATCTCTCTCGCGTGCTTGCGCCTAGCAAGACGTTCCTCGGTTTCTTTTCTGCCGCTGCAGGTTGTCTTGAAGAGATCACCGAGTCGTACAAGGATCGCCATGACCTTAGCCGCCAGGAAATGGACCCTGGTTTGATTCCAGTGCGGTAGTTGAATTCGGACAAGGGGCTGAATGGGTGGAAGACGTAAAATAATGAAACATATACTCCGTACTTTTGATTGATTAATTGGGGCGCAGGGCTGGCGGCAGGGTAGCTCTTTTATACTCGTAGGTATATTGTTCAAACATGCACATGTTAAAATGTATACAATATAGAAATAAATGTCTTCACACGTATAAAACCCACAGGACTAATTGGAATTTATGATTGGAAATGGAAACACAGATTTCACTCCATCCCCCTCCGTACATTATAATTTCTTAACTTTTTTTTTACTTACTCTTTCTTGTAGTTAACATAATTGCCCCCGGAACGGAAGGTTTTCAAAGTTATACTTAACAACGTATACTGGGGCCCCACTTTCAAAGTCCAACGGCTCACAAACATAACATGCCGAGTGATCTCTTCACAAGGCCTAGAGCCCGAATAGGACGCCACGAAATTCAGGTAGGAATATTGAGTTTTTCGTATTACGTTTATCCAGCTAACTAAACTAAATAAGTTGGAGCATGCCCTTTAATCTCGTGGATTATTGTAGGGGACAAAAGGATAAGATAAGATGCGTCAAGTCAGGTTATTTCGTTTGCGCACATAATCCAAGGGGGGAAAAAAAAACAGTAACGTAGACAGGGGATAAGCAGCTTTTATTTGCGTTTTGTCAGGACGGACTGAGGGACAAGTGAGGGAAGAGGGAAGAGGGCAAGATTGGTTTGCAATTTTCTGACAATAG